TAGAAACAAACATCCCGTTCATTTTCATTTTTTGAAACAGTAATTCGTTATAGTTTTTAGACATAGTTCCAGGATAATATTTGGACAGAGAAGCTTTGGATGATATAAGTTTGCTTGAAATGTTTTTAAGTTTATCGTTGGTTAGTGCATTCTTAGTAAGAGGCACGGGAGTTTTTTTCTGAGATTCAAGAGTGAAACTACTACTATAGTGGCTAGGGTTTTTCCGGAATTCTACACTTTGTGATGCATTTGATAAGTCAATAATTTTGTTAGAAACATTTTCATCTATGAAGTCCACATTAACTTTATTGATGCTTCTGGTTTGAGTAGCATTATTAGTTGACAAAAGATTCAATGATTCATTTGAATTTTCTAACAAAGCTTCGATTAACGTAGAAGTTTTCACGTCGGGTTTTTTGTCTTTGTTTTCTTTTTTTATTTCTGAATTTTCGATTGCGTCAGATTCAACTGAGGAATAATCTAACGTATGGATAATGTCTTCTTTAATGTTAGCGTCTATGTTGCTATTCAGCATATAAATATGTTTTTTCTTCGAAGTATCAGTCAACATTATGCTTGGAACTTGATGTTTAAAGTTTTTTAACATTCGGCTTGGAACATTTAGTTTATTGGTTGATTTTTTTACGATTTTGTCTAACTGGTAGTCGAATTCATTGGGAACGTCTTGCACTTCAAAATTTTTGACATATTCCATGGCGTTTTTGAGATGTTGACTATAAATGTCTGCTATTTTAAATGATATATTCCATGGCGTTGTTTTTATTAGCTTAATTTGAGCGAGCTTACTGTGTGCTATATTAAGAGCTATTTGAAAAAAAAACGGATCTTTGTTTTCCAAATTGTATTTAACACATTTGCTGTATTCTTCTGTAGTTACCTTGCAGTTATGTGTTTCCGAAATTTGGATCAGTTTAAAAAAATGATCAATGTTATATCCTATAATCTGCTTGAAAAGCTCAAAATAAGTGGGAATATTGTGGTAAAAATATTGATCAATTAAGTTCAACCCGCTGACGTAATAAGGATCAGTAAGAGTAACTAGCCTTTCAATATTCTCTTCTATTTTTTTGCTTGTACTTATCCCAAGTACTTTTATTCGCATCAGAAAAGAGCAAATAAACAAACGTATCGCTGTGTGATACTTCAAGAAAAACATTAATGTTTTAGCACTTCCGAAAAAATTTATATCTTTATAAATGTACGTATTGTTAATCATAATGTCCGCCAAGTTGGTTGACAGATTAGTAAATTGAATCATAAATATATTTTTGTCTAGAATTAGTGTTATAAATGGCTCACACATAAATATGGTCTCTACTACAGACGCATATCGAGAAAAAAAATCGGCCTCAGGCGGAATGTAATAAGAAGCATTTAAATTTTGATTGTCATACATGAATCGGCTAAAGTGCTTGTAGTTGGCGGTTTCAGTTAAATAATTGAATATAGAGTCTAGTTCTTTCGAGTTCTTTGTTTTTAATAGTTTTTCCATAGCTTCAAAAACCTTGACGTCGTATTTTTGACATTTCATAGTTGTAGCCATAAAATTTTGTAATTTAGAGTAGTTATTAAACTTTTCAACAAATTTATTGTCCAGCAGTAAACAGAATGATTCTAGATTACTTTGGTTTACTTTTACAATTCTTTGAAGAAATATATTGATTAGTAAACTGAATAGAATGGATTTGTTTGTATTTGGTAAATTATTGACATGATTGGGAAGTATACTAATAGACGTGTCAATTATACTTTCAATAAATTTTTGATTGTAAATTTTGGTGAACAAGTTAACAAACGATACGATGTCGCCAACAATGTGAACGTTTAACAAATCTATGCAAATCTCCTGCATTAAGTTATGCTCTTTAATAGTTAGTTTCCGATTAATAAAATTGATTTTAGCAAGTTTCGCGATGGTTATTTGCGACTTGCATAAATTTAAAATGTTTTGTGGTAGAATGATTTGTTGAATATTAACATTGTATGAAATAATATTTTTCAAGCTGAGCTTAAAGATTGAGTCATAATTCTTTTCTTCAGTATTGTTATTTAAATAAATTACGCCAAAGTAGTCTTCTAAGAGTTCGCGCAGCATTTCTTTGCATGTGGTAATGTGAGAACTAAGCTTTGGAATGACGCTGAAAACAGACTCCGTTAAGAAACTAGTCTGTAGTTTGCCTTTGCCTAAGAACAAGTTAAATATATTACAAATGATAACCGCTATGATGTACGGATCACTCGTTGTCGACTTTGTACTGCCAAGAAATCTGTACTCACTACTCTCGGTTTTCATTTCTTCAGTGTTTACGGTAAGAAAATATTTAACCAATCGTTCTGAAACACTTGGGAACAATTCAGGATACAAGTGAATCCTGTCAACAGAAATTTCACTCGAATTCAGCCCTTTCTCAAAACAGTCCAGTGATATAGCTCGATAAACAAGTTTTGCCATTAGAAATAAGTAGCAAGCAGACGCCATCGAACAAAACAACTTGTTGGTAATCAGCTGAATTAAATTTTTAAGACAGCTTACACAATTGGAAATACTATGTATTTCCAGCATTCTATAAAATTCACGGATTGAAGCTACTCTGCAAAGACACGTATTGCATAAGTTAGCGATTTCATGCACAACAATTCTCTCAACATGTCCGTTGAGTTGTTCATCGTCTGCGTCTGATACATGCTTGTTCAATGAACCAGCGTTTCTTGAATATTGACGTAATAATTCTGATTTATATATTTTGTATGTTTCATTGTAGAATAGGCTTATTGAATTGTAATTCAATTGGTAATTTGTCGGATGTAGACAAGTGTAGTTTACATAATTAAAATCCAATATTTTGATTGATTTATTTGCTTGATGGCTATGTCTTTTAACGATTCGGTTTAAGTATCGTGGAACAACTAAAAGCTCATCGATATTTGTCAGGTTGTTATACATATCCTTACTCTTCTGTCGATAAAAATTTGAGCTAATATTGTTAGGTTTACTTATTTGTGAATCTGAGTTTCCAGATAGATGCTTTTTAGTGTATATTAAGTTTTGGCTTTTCAAATTTATGAGTTCCATTTCCGCCTCAAGTTGCTTAATTCTTGTGTCACTATAAAGTTGAGGAATACTGTCGTCAATAGGAAGTTCAAAAACAAACACAACGACTCCTTTATAAAAGATCTCATAACAAAAACTGATGGTGTGAATTGTGATCTGATCAACTGTTGAGGTAAAATCCATAAATACGTTATAATCGGTCAAATTGTCTATCTTGGCTTGACTAGTTTTGCTTTCTTTCTTTCTCAGTCTCTTTTTAATTTTTTTCTCCGCTTCTGACTTTATCTTGTTATACGCAATGGTGTGCATTTCTAAATGGATGTTAAGCAAGTTGATATTGTAAATGTCTAAACCAATCATTTGTGCTCGATATTCTGTTTCACTTTCAATAGTCAACGGGTGGATTATCATCCAATTTCCCATTGTATAAATAGAAGCTGGATAATCTAATATTAACCCATTATTGTAAACATAGGTGTTTTTGTCAATTAACTTAAATTCGTTATTATCTCTACAAGTTGTTAAGTTGGATATATTTTTCTCTATACAGTCTATTGCCATTATCCGTACTATCTTCTCTATTTTGAGTAAAATTTCAGTTACAAAAAGGCTTTTTTTAATTAAATCTGTATATGCAACAAAGAACAAGATTAAAAATTCTTCCCTTACGCTTTCTTCTGCATCAGATCTGTTTTGCGATATAAGTTCTTTTAGTGCTACCAACGTTTGTATTAGGTTTGTTATTTTTAACCTCGCTTCATTCAAAATACCTTGGGAATTCTCAACTGTCAGTATGGTTTTCTCCACTTGAGAGTATAAGAGTCCTGTTTCTTTCACCATGAAATAAATTAGATCGTAAGGGGAGCTTAAATTAGTTATATAGTTAATAACAGATGTATGTCTTTGCCGAAATTCAATAGAAAATTCTTTATCTAGATATTTAGCAATATTAACTTTTTTCTCTATGATATCGTCAACTTTTTTGTCTTTCATATCTGAATAATCATTAGTAAAATAAGAACTGTCCGAGTTATCGGAGTCGTAATCGTCAGTTTTTTTAGTCAAAGTATTGCATAAAAGTGGAACGTCATCGATAACTGGTATCGGTTTTGGCTGATCTGTAGGTTTTTTTTTGTAATCGAATCTATCCGCGATTAATGATATGTCAGAAGTTGATTGGTGATTATACACAACATTTATATTTAAAACGGCTTTTTTTGGCAACGTAATTGGAACTCCTTTTATTTTGTACGATTTATCTTTTTTGATGTCAAGTTTCAACCTTAGAAGTCCTTGTTGCCCTATGGTGAAAAATCCCTCGGCAAAAAAAACGAGATCAGTAGCGTTTATTTTCACTTTTTCATACGCTTCAATTTTGATATTTTTATATTTTGCCGACTCTTCGTTATTAGGAAGTAAAACAGACCCGTTTAATAATGTTAAACAGGAATCATCAGTATTGCTTTGTGTCTGAACGAGATTAAATAAAATACTTTTTTTTGGATTTCTATATATATTAGACAAAGGCTCGTTGTTGTATAAGACTCTAAACTCAACACTCTTTGGCATTGCCTTGGATGGGCTAACCATTAAAGATCGAAATTCAATTACTATTGACATGATGATCAGGTTCTTTAATTTACATTTTGATTATTATCGAGCTTGAACGAAGAGCTAATTTTAATTAATCAATTAATCTGTATTTCTTCTTTTACTACCTATAAATTTACTATTACGCATAAAACTAAGATGTTAAATTAAAAATAATTTACTAATATGTTTAAAACATAAGTAGGGGTTAATATTTACGTATGAGATTTTGGGTATGTGATTTGATATTTTTAGTTTATAATTTATACATCTAAAGAAATTAATTTACGTGATATGAGTGATATCTTCGAAACGACTTTACACATAGTATGAAATCATGATCTATCTGCGTATAGGTATTGTGATCACTTTGTATAATTTTTTGGCACTCGTAGCTTCAAAAAAAGCAAAGACTTTCCTTGCTAAAGATGAAGAAAACCAAACAAAAGAAATCGCGTCTATTCCGGCTTTAAATGCAGCAGGAATGAAATGTGAAGATTCTCCTATGGTAGAAGCCGCTGGAATTAAGTGTAGTATTTTAGCTAAAAATATAGGGGCCTTGGGATGTCAACGAATCATTCAAGAATTAGCAAACGAGCATGGCAAATCGGTTGAAAATATACCTCCGATGTTTAGAAATAAACGTATTGCTGATGCTTGTCCTCAAACTTGTGGACTGTGTGAACTCTGTGCTCCGGGTTGTACCAAGTGGTTTATAGGTAATGGTTGGTGTGAAGAAGCTTGCAATAACGCTAGCTGTCAGTTTGATGGTGGAGACTGTTGGGATAAAGACTGCATTGTAGGACCGTGGGGACAATGGTCAGAATGCTCAGTACCTTGTGGCCCAGGGGGTGAACGAGTCCGAAGGCGTGATGTATTAGTAAAACCTAATAAAAACGGAAAACAATGTCCGCCATTAATTGATAAAGAGCTAAACTGTAACTCTGACATAAAATGTCCAGTAGATTGCAAACTTTCGGATTGGGGAAACTGGTCTGTTTGCAGCGCTGAATGTGGCCTTGGACAAGTTACTCGAACTAGAGAAATACTTGTAGCACCGCAAAATGGAGGAAAACCTTGTGGAGATTTGACCCAATCTGCTGATTGTTTCATTACACCTTGTAATGATTCCTGTAAATTGTCTGAGTTTGGTGAATGGAGTCAGTGCTCGTCGAAAATAGGATCAGGAAGTCAAATTCGGATTCGACAAATTTTGAAAGAACCCATGCTGCATGATCAGCCCTGTGGAACATTATTTGAAGAAAGAAAATGTGTGAATTTTACAGATAATACTAGTGAAAAAGATACTTGTAAATTTTCCGATTGGTCCTCATGGACTGTTTGTTCTAAATCTTGTGGTGGAGGTCAAACAACGCGGCAACGTTCTGTGATTTCAGGAAAATGTTTTGATGCCCCACTCATCGAAAAACTAGCTTGTAACAATTTTGAATGTAATGAAGGTTGTGAATACGAAGAGTGGGGACCATGGAGTCCTTGTAGCAGTTCATGCGGTTACGGTGTTCAAGAACGAACCCGACAAATAAAACAGACAAATAATAATGCTCAAAAACATTGCGAAAAATTAACACAGGCACAGCCCTGCTACAGTGGAGTCTGTGAATCAGACTGTTACAGTGAAATAGAAACGGAATGTACAACTAATTCAAATAGTTGTGGATTAGGTTATGAGGTATTAGTAGATAAAAAATTCATTGAAAACACCTGCATATCAAAATATGTCGTATCTGATTGTAATATACCATGCTTAGATAGCAGCATAGCTGAAATAGTCACTTGTAAGGAATGGACTGACTGCGTTGGAAATTGTGAACATGGAAGTTCCGAACGAATTTGTATTACAACGAACGATCAAATCATCGTTCAAAAAAGAGAATGTAGACCCAAAAATTGTCATAATAGTTGCGAGTACGATAGTTTTTCAGATTATGTCATGTGCGAAAAAAACTGTGGTGGTTGTTTAGAACACGCTGATAGATCAGTAATAAAACCTTCAGAATCAGGAACTGAATGTAATGAACTTCGAAGTTGGAGAAATTGTATTGATACGATTCAAGATAATGAAGATTGGGGTCCGTGGGGAGCTTGTATAGCTCCGTGTAATAAAATGGGATTTAAGTCTAGAATCAAAACTTCTGAAGGTAAATCAAATTTAGAAATTACTAAATACGAATTAGAAACTACTCCGTGTTTCAGAGCATGTAATGATACTGTAAATTTGCTCGAAGAAGAGAATTGTATATATTCACAGTGGTCTGAATGGGGCAAATGTTCTAATAAATGTGGACAAGGTGTAATGAAGCGTTACAGAGAAATTATCCAAGGTGAAAATAAAAACTGTAAAAATATAGTTCAATCAGTACCTTGTTACATGAAATCTTGTGATAAACGATGCAAAGTGGGGTCTTGGAGCGATTGGTCAAGTTGCTCGATGGAGTGCGGTAAAGGATCAAAATTTAGATCAAGAAAAATAGAACAACTTCCAACAAGTTTAAAACACTCATGTCCTGTAGTATACGAAACACAAGTATGCTTAATAAAAGAATGTCGCGAAGACCACAACTGTGAAATGTCAGAATGGTCTGAATGGACCGAATGTACTTCAAAATGTGGAGGGGGAGTTCAAAAAAGAACAAGATCTGTCATTAAGGAGGCTATAGATGATGGGAAATGTGGCTCGACAAAGGAAGTTCGTGGTTGTAATTTGCAGAGATGTCCTAATACGAAATGTGTTGATCATCCTAAAATAGCAGAAAGTCCATTGAATTGTAGCATGCTAAAAACTCAAGGTTGCCACACCAACATACGTAAGCTCGCCCGAGAACACAACGCTGAAGATCAGTTACCTGAGGAATTACCTCCGGAAGCGCGAATATTAGATGTTTGCCCAATGACGTGTGGAGTCTGTAATGAATGTGCTCCAGGTTGTGAACTTCGAGATATAGGTAACACTGTTTGTACACAAGAATGTAATGTAGAAGCTTGTAATTTTGATGGAGGCGATTGTGGTTCAGATTGTAAACTGAGCGATTTAAACATACCAAGTGGAAGCAAGCTTGAGACAAACAAAACCGGTTTGATGGAAGGAGAAAAAACTGAACTTGTATGTCCTGTAGGTTATCATATCAAAGGCAGTACACGGAATTGGTCTTATCAATTGAACTGTGATAAAGAGAAACAATTAGTTATTTATAAAAAAGAATACCTATTTGATCATTTAGAAGGAATCAACGAAAAGATCAAATTAACGGAGGAGCTGAATTGTGTGAAAGACGATTGTTATAGAGTGATGATTACAAAGTTTGGTAAAAAATCGTTCAATGAATTAAATGAAGAAGACATTAACTTCTTTGAAAATGTTTTTACTGGACTTTATGAAAAAGAAAGAATAATTCCCGGGTTAATAACTTATAGAAAGCATTCAGGTTTCATTGACTGCTATCTAGTATTAATTGAAAACTTCAAAATATTTTTCACTGATCCTCCTAACCATCGACCAATTTATTCTTATTCTGAAAATCAAGTTGACTTCTGCACAAGTATAAGAGATGACGTTGTATCCTTTGAAGATAAGTGGTTTTATTTTAATTCAGATGTGATTCAGAGAGATAAATTATTGGATGTACTGAATCAAATTAAAATAATAGAAAACGTAGAACCAAGCGTTTTTGATGGCGTCAAAATTACTGCAGTTGATAGTTTAGATACAGGAATAAGCGAAAATCTTGAAAACATTTTTACAAAAATTAAATTAGTCGGTCCATCCTTGATCAAAAGCCAGTGCAGTGATATACCTTTAGTAACAAAATTTGCAGGAATAAGTTGTGATAAATTAGTTTATTCACTGGGATGCACTTATAGATTACGTGAAGCTGATACAAGTTTGACGCTGCTTTCTGAAAAAGCAACAGTAGCCACGGTGTGTCCCCAGTCCTGTGGTTTATGCACGCAAGAATGCTCCAAAGGTTGTTCAAATTGGTTTTTAGGAAACGGCTATTGTGATGAAGCTTGTAACAATGAAAATTGTGCGTTCGATTTTGGTGATTGCGATGCTGAAAAATCGACTCCAGACCCCACGAATAAGACACCAGTTTCAAACGTAGATAAAGTCACTGTAGCTGATTGCAAAAAATTAATTGCGTTATTTCCAAATCAACTTACCGAACCTATGAAATACTTAAAATTAGAAGACTCTGCAATCGAAAATAGCAGCTCATATTTAAAGTATGAGAAATCAATAACAGATCTTTGCTTAAATCATAATAACGAAACTTCTGCTTTGGAGACTTTTAATGATAGTGCACAATGTACTGACTTAGAAAACATAAAAAGTATATCTGGCTTGAGTTGTCCAGAAATTGTTACGTTGTTAAATTTTGATTGCTCCCATAATGTTTCTAAATTTACAGATATGAATATTTTTTCAAAACAAGACACTATTTTCGACATCTGTCCTCATTCGTGTGGTAAATGCTACCGCGAGACCAAACTATTTGATACTTGTCATGACTATGAAATAGTGGAAAAACTCAGCGGAATTTCTTGTTCTCAAGCAATCGAAATGATGGGAGAAGATTTTTGTAACACAAAACTCACAGACATATCAAGTGAAGTTCCAGCTGGGTTACCTAAAAATTCTTTGTTAAAAAATATTTGTAATGTTTCCTGTGGGGTTTGTAAATCTAATGAAGAAATCAAGAATCCGCTTTTTTTAAAACAACAAAAAACCTGGACCATTACCGATTCATCAGAAACACCAGAAAAATGCAAAAACATGCTTGATGATTGGCAAATTAACGATTTGACTTGTTTTGACGTAGTTGAAACCGCTAAATCATGTGATATGAACATTGCGTCTTCATCGTTTTGGAACACTCATTTGTATCCAAAAATGTTAAATCTTATTAAATCTGGGATTCTTTTAAATGAGCTTAGCATTATATCAACATTATGTCAAAAAGAATGCTATCGCTGTGATATATCTCAAAGTGAACGGATTGATGATTGCGCAGACGATTTGGAAATAGTGGAAAATAGTTTATTTTCAACATGTGAATATCTTATTTCCTTTGCAGGTTGTGCTGCCAATCTAAAACAAGTTTTGTCACAGCATACAAGTATTCCCAAATTTGTACTAGATAATATTGATGAAAATTTAGACATTGACGATCTATGTCCCATGTCGTGCCAAAGATGTCCAGCATTTAACGTAAACGAAGAATGTGAAGACTCTGAAATTTTTGCACAATATGATTTCAGTTGTTCTGGTTTAGTTGCTTACGCCGAAAATGGTTGTAGAACACAGCTAAAAGATTTAAATTTAAGCAAAACGATTAAACAAAAGATTGTAAAAGATAAAGGCATTGACATGAACACACAATTATCTGTTTTTTGTTTGAAGACGTGCGATGTTTGTAATGTACAAGGAATAAGCAAAGAAGTTACAGTAAGTCCTGCGAAATGTGTGAATGCTATGGACAATATGAACTTGAACATTACATGTGAACAGATCATTGGGCTTTTATCTACTTCAATGTCTATTGCAGAAGCTTGTGAAAGCAGCATGTCTTCAGTAGCTAAAGGGACAAGCTACGAAAGTATCGCACAACCTGGTCTGGCTGTAAAAACACTTTGTGCTAAAGAATGTCACACTTGTGGTTATGTGTCATGTGACGATGGTTTTTGCAACGGAGATGAAGAATGGATTGACTGTGGAGGTTCGTGCCAGCCTTGTCAGGCGTGTAATTACGCTGATCTTAAATTTCTATTAAGAGCTCATGATTTGTTTTTAGTTACAAAGGACAAACCAAATCAAACAATATTTGAAACGAATCAGAAAGTGGAAATAGACTGTATATCCGGCTTATCTTATACCAGTGCGGACTACTACGTTGTATGCAAAAATAAACAGTGGATGATTCCACCTGGCAAATGTGTAGAGCCGACAGTAAATGCTATCAAACTTGAGTTAATGATCAGTAATTTTGAAACAAACTCATCAGAATTCATTTACATTTTGTATGAAGTTATTCACAAATTACTAAGTCCGGAATTGTCTGATTTGAAACTCTACCAAGCGGGTACTTGCGACGCATTCATTAATTCTATGATGTCTACAGAACACTGTAAAGACGAAGAAGTATCCGCTGGCAGTGTAACTTGTGCCTTCTTAGTGACTATAGGTTGTAATATGAACTTGCACGAGTTAGCGCAAATGGCCGGCCAAAAATTACCTGATGAGGTGCCAAAAATGGCTCTGGTATTAGACGTATGTCCAAAATCTTGTAACTCATGTAAAGAAGCCGCGATCAGACGCTTTGAACACAACACGAAGATGCAAGGATCAAATCAATCATTGAACTGTTTAAAGCTTGAACTTGTAAGCAAATTCAACGAAAACCAACGATATCCAAGTATGGATCAATTGAGTTCGCAACTAATAGCTAAATACCGGACAACTGATTTTTTAAACCGCACTATTCAAACCGATCTTATTGATACATTGAAGGGAATCAATTCAGAATCAAAAGTGTTTATTTATACTGGTGGAATAAAAAGAAGTAAAACGTTAAGTGAATTAAATGAAGAAGATATTAGTCATATGATGTGGATAACGAACAGCAACCAAGCTCCTCAAATGTTCAATATATTTAATATAATTAAATTGCCGATTTCAGAATATGAAACCGCTGCAAAGGATACAAGCAGCATTACCGATATCAAGAAAAAAATTCTTGGCACCCATAAAAACTCATTTATTGTTTTTGATTTAAATTTAACAACGATACTTGCGCCGTTCATAGAAGAAATCGAAACTTTGCTCGATAATGTAATTGATTTCCACTCGAGTTTAATAGATTTAATCTTGAAAAATGTAAGTCGATATAGGTTTGGTAATAAGTACGGAGTTCACTTAATTAAAGAAGATTTAGAGAATTTAGCTTTTGGATTCGACAATAATCCAGAATGTAATGAAATGTTTTTTGAATACAAAACTTTTTTTGAACAAGATTGTTCTTCTTATTTCATACTTGAAGAATCTAACGTTTCGCAAATAACTAATTTTTGCGATAAATTAAAAGGAACGAATTTAGATGCTACGGACACATGTACTTTGAAATTCATTAATTTATTCAACAAGTATTCGGATTTAAACTGTTTAGCTAACATTTATATGAAGAAAGTTTTATCAAGCCTATGTAATAAAAACGCAGAAGGCAAGTTGTGTTTATTCGAATTCGACAGCATTTACAGCCAGTTGGGTGAAAAAGAATTTTTGAAAGACAACAACATTTTGGTCACTCACTGTTCAAGTTCGAGCTGTTGGCATTCTCATATTGTATATATGCAAGCTTTATCGACATTGAATATTGGTTGGACCTTGCGAAAAATATTAGACGCGAGATCAAAACCCGAACAAATGATTCAAGAAATACGGCGAGAATTTGCTAACTATGCAAACATTCCAGCTAGTGTTGAAACAGACGATAGAATGAAGTTTTTGATGGAGTATCCACAAAACTTAAGCGATTTATTTTGCAATTTGATCTACAACGACAGTTGCGTTAACTATATGCAATTGTTGTTAGAATATTCTCCTATCCAATATCCAAAGTACTACAACCAAGGATGCTACGCGCATTGTCTTCAAAAATCGATGTTTATTTATGGAAATGTTCTACAAAATCAAGCTTACTATACCTCTAACCAATTATTAGCAGCTGAAGCGGCAGCGATAGTTGTATTTAGTTCTGGACTATGTGTAAGAAACGGGTCAAAGTACTTTTCTTGCCCTTTACTCTTTTCCAAGTTACTTGACAACCTGAATGATGACCAAAAAAAGCAGTCGTACAAAGAACCTCATAATGCAAGCAATGTGTTACATTTCACTAATTACTGCAACTTAATGTGTAATATTTCATACATCAACGACGACTTTTGCGATTCAGCCTGTAATAACCCTTTTTGTGTATTTGATGGTTTAGATTGCAGTTTCTCAAAAAAATTCGCTAACTTTCTCAGGGTCCTAGAACACATTGTGCAATTTGATAATTTAAACACAAACTGTGATGAAAAAGACATTGCTTCAAATGTTTGTTCAGATAAATGCAAACAGGCATTGTTATCTGGTGTTGAACAGTACAATACCTGCTATTTTAACGCATATTCATTATTAAAAGATAGCTTTGTAAATGAAAATCAAGTGAAACTGAAAGCACTGAAAGAATATTATCTAAATGAATACTCAAGCCTTTCAATATTCAACAAAGTGGTCGATTTATCACAAGAGAACTCGTACAAAAATTACTTAGACATAAATGAAGTTTGTAAAGTGCAAAAATTCAAAGAATTAGTGACGAATCATCAGAACTATAAATTGTCTATCATTATTAATTTACGAATTTCTACCAAGAACGACATAGAAATAATTTCGAATCGAAGTGAGCTTAAAGCAGATAGAAAGAAGATTCAACCATTGTTTTTAGGTTACGCTGAATACCAAAGAATTCCAGATGAAGAAGCTACCTTTGATCGGCAATTGAAAGAAGAGTATCTCGACTTGGATGAAAAGATACAATTATTAAATGCGAGTATCAATGTAAATCAAGACAAATTGCTTTCTTGGCTAATAAGTACAATACTTTACAGACACGATATCATAATTTATCAGGACCAAGTGATTTCCAAACACCTTTACAAGACGCAAGATAACAACTACATTTTAACGTTCAGCTTCAACGTTAGTTCCAATCTAGACAGCATCACTGTAAATAATTTGAGCCAAGCGTTATTATTTGACGACAAAAAGAGAGACGAGCTGTACTTATTGATAATAGATTTACTTCAAGACGAAAGCAAAGCTTCTCAATCTGGCATTGGACACAACACAGAACTTGAACTGCGAAAACTCAGCACAATGCAAATCGATAACGTAGACGCCGTGATATCAAAGCAAATAGAGAGCACAATGAAAATTTCGCCGTATGCCGATAGAATTCAGTATTTACAAACTGTGAATCTAAACCGGAGCCATAATGAAGTGCTAGACTGCTCGTTAGATCAGCTTCAAGAACTTCTCGGAGAGAAATATTTGATAGACAAAGAAAACTATAAAAACTTTTACACCAACCAGAAATTCTTTGCTCACAATGAAAAGATTCCAATAAAATGTAATTCAAACGCGGTCCCGATAGACGAGTTTAAACCTCGATCGCCTCTGAACAAAAATTCAGCCAAATCATTAAAAACAAGTAGACAAAATTACATGGTATGCGAGCATGGAACGTGGATTAAGCCACTCGGCATAACATGTGAAATGACTTGTGACATATCTCAACTGAACATTGTGGACTTGACTGAGCGCAACTTAATGCTCGTCAACATGCTCTCAGATGAATTAAAATCAGCTATCTCACTATTTTCAATGAAGAACTACATCAAAAAGGTGTTGTTGAGCTCTGACATTTCAATGCTGAGCGAATTTAAGCATGTCAGGTCTAGAGAAGCGATTCCTTTCCGCTGTAAGCCAGACACCCAGTCAGATTCACGGCTTTCAACCGGTGATTTTGGTTTTGTAGTGTGTTCAGATGGTTCATGGTTAATCACATCGGTCAAATGTTCCAAAAGCTGCCCAGTACTGCCCACCTACATTAGCGAAGCGCCTGAAGCATATTCAATTGCCAAGCAATCAAACAGATTTGGAAACACGATCGAAGTATCTTGTGCCGAAAATTACAACTCGATTCCGCCGCAGTTTGAAAACAAAAAGTATAAAGTGATGTGCTCACTCGACGGGATATGGACCAAGTTACCATTTAAATGTGGAAAAGGGTACACCGTCGATCCAATGAACGGGCAGAAGCTCGTTGTGAAGCTGTTCAAAATAATAATCAACAGAACCACTATCATAATCATCGCGGCGTTCGTGCTTATTTCCATTATTTTAATATGTATCGTTGTATACGTATGGAAAAAGAGAATAAACAAAGCTGCTGACATTCATTATATGGACCGTAGAGCGCTAACCGAAAATTATATTACCGAACTTGAGAACTTGGACCCGAACGTTCAGTTCTTAACAGAGAACATCATGCCAAACAAGGGCTTGTCACCTTTATGCGAAGATAATCTGAACCAACGAGAATCAATTCAAAACAACCAAGCCAATAGTGAAATTAGCGCTATCAAGAGAATTAAAACGCTCGTGCCCAATTTAGACCATAAAAAAATTTAACTCCAAAATATTTCGGGCAGGCTGGAAAATTAAGTAATAATATTTTTTGTAAAACAAAAAAATATGTATTTTTTTATATTAAAATTAACAAACTAATAGAATGACCTTAAACAAAAGTCATCGACAATGGAAAGAACCTAAATCTCGTAAATTTAGTAGTTTATCGAAAATCAAACCCGTTCAGTCTTTCGAGGAACGCCAAAAAGAAAAGCTTGAGCTAAAAGCGTTAAAGGCAGAAGCAGTTGAAATTCTCAATCGTGAAAAGGAAATTCGCGCTGAAAAAGCTCGAAAAACGCGTGAAAAGCAAGAACGAAAAAAAGAAAACGCCCTGAGCACAGCGCTCAAGCATCAGGGTGTTCAACTAATAAAAGACCCGAAGAAACTAAAGAAATTAAATAAAAAGATTCACAACAGAATCATGCATTTGTCTCCTGAAGCCATAAATCATTTTTACAATAAATAATTAAATAACCAACTAGCTATGCTTTATCAACATCGTATTATAAATAAATAAACATATCGGCTATGGAGTTTTTCGTAGCCGGTTTAGTTTTTGGGGTCTGGGTTTGACTTGGGATTTTTGATCATGTAATCCATATTAAGAATGGTGGAGGCCGCGTCTTTCGCCGCTTTGTAAGCAGTAGACTTGAGTAGCAGCGGCTCCCAGACAAACGTTTGGATTGCCTGCAAAACGCAATCGCTGTTTGTGCCACGACAATTCACCCCGTAGTTGGCGTTTTTCACCGGATCAGCTTCATGGAGCGCACGCAGTTGGAGAACAGCAGAGGTGGGGTCAAGGTTAGAATTTTTGGCGAGTGTTCGCGGAATCACCTCAAAGGCTTTTGCAATTTGTTCAATGATAAGTTGAATTTTATTGGTATAGTTGAGGGCTTCTTTTCGCAAAGCCGTAGCTACACTCATTTCAATCGCACCGGCGCCCGGAACGATCTGCTTGGTTTGAAACAAGCGGGCACTGATCATGATAGAATCATGCAAGCTGCGTTCCGCCTCGTCAACAAATTGTTGGTTTCCACCACGAATGATGATTGTAGAAATAACCGCCTCGCGGCAATTGTTAAAGACATTAAAACGTTCTTTTCCGATTTGTACTTCTTCGAATTTTCCACAGTATCCTATTGACGAGGTGTTTATTTTTGACACCGTCATAAGTGGAATAGCGCCTGAAGCTTTGGCGATGCGTTCAAAATCTGATTTTTCAACACGACCAGCACAAAAAACATCTCGGTCTGCGAGATATTGTGTGGCTATGTCACCAATCGACTGCGAGCTGATAACTACATTAACTCCGCTGTCGCATATAGTTTGCAAACGATTAATTAAGATTTTCCACTCTGCGTCGATTACTTTTTGATACATGTTGACATCGTCGATTCGTATCATGGAATTTTCTCTCTCTGCTTTAAGTTCAAGCTCCATATTAAGCGCAATAATCTTGCAACCATTGTCAAACTGCTTGGGCGCACGTTCAAACCCAGCATACGAAAAACATTTTGGAAACGCGACTCCAGAAATAAACATGGTATCCGTAATGCTTCCTCCAACAACTTTTTTGATATCAATTAAATTTATATCAACAACATTGTTGTTTCCTTCTAACATATTTTTAACAGCTTTGTAAGCAATTTCACTGAAAAAATACTTGTTTTCACACAATATTTTACTGTTCAAACTGACTTCAGCAGCTTTTCGAATCATCATCATACGCTCAGTTTCAGACAAATTCTCAAGGGAAGTGCTAACCTTGTCGAGTTGTTCAAGCGCTTTTTTCATAGAAATGTTCAAAGCTTCTAAAACATATCTTGGACGAATTTCGTCTGCGATAAACGGCGCTAGGACCTTCATGATTTCTGTGGCTATAAGAATCACACTCGTCGTTCCATCTCCTACATTTTTGTCTTGCGACTTTGATATGTCGACTAGTAGTTTTACAGCGGGATGAACAATGTCAAGCAGCTCCATTATAGTAGCTCCATCATTTGTAATGTGGGTTTTATCGTTGACTTTTATCAACTTGTCTGCCCCCATGGGACCCAAGGTTGAGCTAACAATTTCCCCGACTTCGCAGCAACTTTTGATGTTCGACAGAATCAAGTGTTTACCGCTAGATTGCTCAGTTCCCGCCTTAAGCAAAATGATTGGCTGATGTAATAACTGGCTTCGATCCATCTATACGTTTCTTTCTATTCGAAATATAAGCGTACAGTGCGCTCTAGAACTAAATAAATTAAATCTGCTATTTATTGATTTTCCTTTATTTTATAAAAAGGCAGATTATCAAAAATTCGAAAAAATACAAATATTAGTAGTAGCCGGCAAACTCCGTATTGTTTTATACAAACAATAGCACTGTTTCTCATGTCGTTCCACTACCTCCACTTTTAAAAAAATTTGGTTTAATACGAACAATAAACATCTCTTATTTACAAGTAAGCGTGAAAAATTTATAAAGTATGAACGAGTATTAAAGCGGTAAATCTATTTAGCTTCGGCTTTGTGCAATCTAGCGTCTTTATTAATAACTTTAATAGAAAGTTTTTCCGCTTTTTCCACAATCTTTATTCTGTTTTTAGCAGAAACGCCGTGCGCAATTTCTGCACAATGAGTCTGGTTTTGCATCATCAAGGGATCAAGATCCGAAACCTAAAAAAATATAATAAGTTACAAAAAACCGCTGGGTAACAAAACAGTAGAAGTCATCAGAAAATAAACATTTTGTTCACGATGTGATCATACTCGAAAGATGGTTAAATTGTTTAAATCATCATAGACTGCACGGTTAAGTTATAAATGTTTCATAAAACATTTCCGCGGCCAAAAGTTTTTAAAGTACTTACAGAGCGAACAACAAACTTTCTAAGGCCGCATGGTAAAATGTCGCGAGATTCCTTGGCGTTTCTGTAACCGATTCTAGGCATACGAGGAGTACTCTTGTAGCGTCTTCGGACTCTGTTATCGATACCTCTGGGTTTTCTCCATGACTCGCCTACTCGGTGAAATCTGTCAGACTGGAAACGCTTGAATCGCTTAGTTCTCTTTTTCTGCGTTAACACAGGTGTTTTTGCAACCTTAACCATCTTCTAATTTTAATTATAAATACAGTGTTGAAGTCTGTATACAACACAAGCTTTAATAGATAAAAAATAATAGACACAACATTCAATAATTTTTGAAATTAAAATTTGATTTTATTTATCCCTCTCTAAAGAAAGGACGCTATAACGTTTTGGTTCCGTAAAGAGTAGCGAACCCATTTTTGCAACAGGTCGTTATTATTTTCTAATTTTGCGTATTTAATTGTAATTTTGCTTAAATTCATCATATTAAAATTAAATCTGATGTGAATCGGGCCAATAAGCTTTTTAATAAATTTTTTGTCTTTGCGATGTATGGCTTCGTAGACACTTTTTGAACACGTTTCGTAATCCACTTGACAAGAAATTTTAAGCCCAACCAATGGCTGTGTACATACAGGAGGCAGGTAAAAGTCTGAATGAGTCCACGTAATGCTTGAATTCGTCTGACAAACTGTGGGCTTGGCACTTTTTTTTGCATTTCCAGGCTGATCCAGCGATAAAACTTTACAATCCACGCTTGACGCCCATGTGATAGAATGAAGCGTCAAGTCGGCGTTGCCTACAATTGGACGAAATCCAGAATGCACAAAGTAAATCGTGATATTGACTTTATCATTTTCCAAATCGACCAAACCCTGTACGCCGAAGTCAGGTTTGGTGTTTTGAGAAAAATAGTTGCCAATACAAGCTTCACCCTGCTGCACTTTTTGAATCAAAGAATTTTCATCTTGAAATTCTGACGAGTCGCAATTTTCATTAAACAAAAATGAGTCAACCACATGCAAATCGCTTAATTTCTCGTTATTATTGAGGTTATGTATCGACTTGACAAAGAGTAATTCGTTAAATGCGATTACCAAACGCTGGTCGTCAGGATAATAGCTTTTTAAAATTATTTCTCCTGACAAGCTTGCCTTACGATACAATCCTGTTTCCAAGTCGATAAACCCTGTCAACTTGTCGTTAATGTCGAAAAATAAACTTGCTTCTGACGATTGGCCAAGTGGTAAAATGCTGTTCTTAGCTGACAATGTGTTCACAGCGTCAGGCCTTTTGATTTCGTTTTTAAATTTATTGATTGTGTCTGTAATAACTGCAGGAGTGTAATCATTGATAAAATTTTTTATGAGAACATCTGTGTATTTAGTGCTATTGCATGATATGTTTTTAACGATGCGAAAAAGTTCTTTATTTTCAAAATTAGTTGGAAATCCGTCTACAAATAATTCCTCGATAATTTCGACTACTAAGCTGATTTGATTGATTAATGTAATTTCATTTAAAACTCCACAAAAGTTCTTTAAATTTTGAATTAGAGTAAATAAAACATTAAAAACGACCACCATGGGAATCTTTATTTTTCCAGTCTGCAGTACGAAAAATATGCCATTATATTTCACCAAGTAGTAGTAATAGTGGTTGAATTCTATAATGTTTCCTATTTCATTTGTGTTTTTAATTAGGGATAAAACAAACTCTGAGCTTATTTGCTCAGACTCTAAAATAAAATCTCTTCTGACCAGCTCTGCGCCTAACGAGTCTAAAATCAAAAGTAGGTTGAATAACATTTTAATAAAACTTAATGATAATTATGATCAAAAATAATATTTTCGACCGGTAAATACAATCAAAAAACTTCGTAGCAAATTTAGCCTGCAATTTAATTTCTTTTTGTAAATTTAAATTTATAGATTTAAGGATGCTTTTAAGCGCCAAATCGTTTCAAAATTAGTTTTATAAAAGAGCTGAAACTAGCATCGTCACTAATAGGAGAATAAAACACTGGGTTTATTTTGATTGTTCTTAGCGAAATAATACTGAAGAAGAAAGACAACATATTCACAATGCAATACACAGACGTAGCTATATGATACTCATGTATATTGCAATTTGCAGTAAATAACAAGTTTAACAAAATAATTTGACAGACAAAAAAATTATATAAGTCAATTAATTTAGCTGCGTTTGGCAATATACAAACAAGCATACCGAGAAAAGTCAATGTTCGTTGCCAGTTGTCTTTTTTGTTAGCGTATTCGAGTACGTATGCTGTAGCCAAAGAGCTAAGGAGATAGCATACTAGTTTTAAATACGAAACAATCATGATATATTTGCTGAGTGACAGGACGTTACATGTGTTACTACTAGTTAAAGATGTGTTTTTGGAAGTAATAAAAAACTGGTTCAAACTCACTGCAGCTATGAGAGATAGTATACCATGCCAAACATAATACCCGCCATAAGTTCTGTTAAGTTATTTGTCAGTTAAACGTACCTGATTTTGAAAAAGTTTCTGGCGAAATTAAAAAACGCACGACGTTTTAATTCGCTAAGTAAACTTGGATCTACTTCATTAGTGTTTGTTGGAACAGGAGTAAAAAAAGATTTATCGTTTTCTAGATTAGTTGTCGGTTGCATCGTTACCTATAATCGCTAACGCTAGGATCAAATCAGTTTAGCATACTGCTAGTTCATTTAATTTCAAAAATTATTCTAAATTTCATTTTTTTTAAAAAGCGAATTAAAGTCAGAGTTATCATCGAGACCGAAGAATTGCATTCTTTTCGCACTTTTACTTAGTTTCTTTTTTTTTATATTTTTGCTAATACCTGTTTTAGTATTTTCGGATCTTGTATTATCAATTTCATCTTTTTGTTTTATAGTAGAACTACCAGTACATACTTTTACTCCCACAGGTTTTGGATAGATTTGATCAGGTTTTTTTACTTGGACATCAGGTTTTGGTTTGTTTTTTTGACTAAAATAGTTTGCCAGAGTTTCTCTTAACTCTGTGACTGAATTATTGACTTCTTTGTTGTTAAAATTAGATATATTAACAGAACTAAACTTGTAATCTAACTCTTTTTGTTTATCGGAATCTATTTGTGGATAATTTTTCGTGTTTTTTTTTTCTATTTTATTAATACACTCATTTGTTTTATGCTCAGTTGACTCACAAAACTCACACTTTTTTTTTAAACAAAAAGATACTTTAACGCTCGAAGTCTCACTACGACTGACTTCAGGAATGGAATCTTTTATTCCGTTAGACTCAGTATACCATGGATTTAGCTCAAAATTTATTCCATCATTATTCATGTTAAGCAATTGATAATAAACAATTGATTATTTTTGTTTATGCTGAAAAACTCAATTAGAAATACGTTATGAAACGAATCAGAAAAAAAGTAGAAAAAATTATTAAACATTATTAAAGAACAGGCGTTCCAAACAACTAAATTAAATTGATTTTATTTAGCAATTTTATAAAAATATAGACCGAACGTACATCTAAAATAAAAATTGTTGATCGATCTCAAATTAATAATGCTTTGTTTTATGAAATATAACAGAAGGCACAATAAAACAAGTTAATTAAATGATAACAAAATATTGAAAGTACAACGCTATAGTTAAAGTAAAGAATAATCTATGGAAAAGTTTCAGTGCGAAGAGAAAAAATAAATAATTAAAATTTGAAGTTTATTAATTAAAATAGTGGATAACCATAGAACTGTTTTAATAAAGGAAAAAAGGGGATTAATTTGAAACAGTTTTAATCAAACAGATTTTGACAAAGCAAATTATATTCTTTACTATAACTAAGCATAAAGCATTATATAAAATTATAACTAGATATCATAACTAATGGGAAAGGCCAAAATATCATACGGATAGGATGATAAATTCCTTTAAATTTATTACTAAATAAGTCGAACTATAGAGATAATCAAAGTTAAAAAGAGTAAGACCAATTGTTAATTGATAATGGATTGTAATCATTGCCGGTTAAATTGAAGTTTAAGGGCATTTCTGAATCGCCTGAAAAGTAATCATGGCCCCAGTACATGTTATCAGTAGTAGTAGTAGAGTGATCTGGAGAGTAAACATTATTAGTAGTATAATTTTCAACGTCTGCTACAGGGGATGGTAGCGTTTCATCTATTTTTTGGTTTAAAGAAGAGTTTCCAGATTGATCATTTAACAGAGCGTAAACGCCGTTTACAGCAGGAAGCTTATTAACTTGTGATGAAGAGTTTTTATAATTTTTCTGCACTTGAGTACCAGAATAGTTATTTTTAACTCGGCTAGATCTTAGGTGGCCGCGTCGTTTTTTGAGAGATTCGTTTTTTTCTTCTTGGTTTCTGCAAGCATGAACAACTTTATCCCATAAGTTACAAATAAAAGCCATTCTAGATAATTGATGTACTGTGGCATTTCGAAGCTCCGCATAACGGAATCCATGACGTTCCAATACTTCATCCATCAAAACTGGATACTTTTCATGCATTCTGCGAAGTTGAGTACGAAGAGCTTCTCGGCCTTCTTTTCCTAAGATGATACGCCTGTTTTCCTCATAAATAATCGAACTAATACGGCCATTACGATCGCGTTCTGTTACCATATATTCACGTCTTACGTACTTTCTCATTTGAGACTGTTCAGCTTTAAACTTAACAAAAGCATCGTGCCAGTAACAAAATTCATTAGTTGTTCTTTCAATATGCACGCGAAGTGCGACGTTCCAAAGATTCCATTTGTAAGCTAATTCCAGAAGAACAGGGACACTGGCTCCTTGTAGTTGTTTTCCTTTACAGCCACGCAAATTGAGACATGCTCTCAATAATTCTCTGCCTCCTTCTCCTAATTGGAAGCTTGCCAATGGGGAGTACTTTATTAGCAAGGAGCTGTAACGTTTATTATTTAGAAATTCGCTGATATCATTTAGCCTTTCAACGGTTGCAGCGTCGAGCTCAGGCCTAGTGATAAACTTCGGATTTTTCGGCTCCATATTTGGCATGTTGAGGTACTCACCCATATTGACTCGTTGATCAATATCCATTTTAGTAGATGGTCCGTCGCTGTTATAAGTTTCCGACATAGTTGAGGGAATGTTGGCAGCTAAAGAATTCAAGCTGGGAACCTCAGGAGAAATGTTGAAGCTATCGAACATCATACAGTCTCCATTTGTAGACAGTTGCGGAGTCACACATTGAGAGTTTATAATGGAATTCGGATAATAGCTTGATTGCTCCCATAAAACATCTTTCATAACGTTATACTTTGGCGGAATAGACGAGCTGTCTTGACTCTCTGAGCAAATATCGCTTCTGTCCTCGATGTCCGCGTTGTGAAAATACATTCCATAAGAATACGCCGGCGAGTACGGTTCTAGTGCCGACAGATTCATATTTTGATTGTTTCTCACGGTTTCAGCGTATATACTGTCTTGAATTTCTTCTTGAAATTCAGAATAATCTATTTTGTTTGTCATTTCAGTTTCTTTTTTGTGGTACTTAGACGCATTCATGAGTTTTGTAATGAAAATTGTATGTATTTAAACACAAATTTTCAGCACTACCACGTTATAGCTGGAGTATTTATATAATATTCAAAAGAAAACTAAAAATTATCTTTTGTAAAAAATCTTTAAAATATTATTTTTTAATTTTACATAATAATTTTAATAATGCCAAAAAGACACAAAAGAATTTAATATATACTTCCGTAAATTCTAAATGCAATATGTTCGGAAAATTTATAAGGCTCATTTTTTTCTAAGCTCGTTTGTTTAATATTCATGCATATATGGACGACTCAGCTTTTGGTAATGTATTGGTGGTCGGCGCAGGAGGCTTAGGTTGTGAAATTTTAAAAAATATATCCACTTTTTCACTTAAACGCATAGGTATCATAGATATTGACACAATTGATATCACTAACTTAAATCGCCAGTTTTTTTATAACGCTGATCACATAGGAAGTCACAAATCGAAAGTAGCGGCGCATGTTTTAACAAATTTTTTACAGAACAAGGTAAAAATCAACTTTTACGTCTCGACGATCCAAGATTTTTCTGAAGAGGCGTTTAAATCCTTCGATATCATAGTTTCTGCGTTAGACAACGTAAAAGCACGGTCTTATTTGTCGAAACTTTGCATTAAATACGACAAACCACTGGTCGAAGGAGGCAGCACAGGGTATAATGGCCAATCTTATTTGATTTGGAACTTGTGTGATACAGAGTGTTATGACTGTAGAAAAAAACCTACGCGCGACAACTTCCCGGTCTGCACTATCAGAGGTCTTCCCACGCTACCTGTCCACTGTATCGCTTGGGCGCTGATGCTTTTTAACTCTATATTCAACGGCACCTCAAATTCTGAACTTATTTACAAGAGCATCTCACAATGGAAGCTAACTGACTTGCCAAGAGCTTTTAATGTATTTATCAAAAAAATTTACACCACACAGGTTCTGAACATAAGCACCACCCAATCAAAAAATTTAGTTTTAAGAACTATTCAATTAGCGAACAAAGATTTTACAGACGTCTGGCAACAAATTCTATCGAATAAAGTTACCCAATATAGTACTTCGATTTACGAAGTAGACGCAAAAAAAATTTTTACAGTTCACGATTATATAAAAGATTTGTTTATTTCGATAAAGCTACTTAGTAAGAACTTTGACAAAGATCAAACTTTGCCGCTAACGTTTGACAAAGACAACGAAGATTCGGTCCACTTCGTTTGTGCAGCTGCGAATTTACGTGCACACTGTTTCCATGTCCCATTTGAATCGTTGTGGAACATTAAGGGAATTGCAGGACGAATCGAGCCTTCATTGATTACAACAAATGCAATAGTAGCAGGTTTCCAGTCTAAATTAGTGAGAAAGGTGCTAACTATACTGCAGAAAGAAACTGAAATAAATGCTTCAGTCTTGGAGAAATACTCAGTCGGCTATGTATGGGTAACGTTAGATAATGATAGTAAAAATATTGTAATACGCGATAAATTAGAAAGAAAAAATCCAAAATGTTCGTCGTGTTCTATTAAATACAACAAGTTGTACGTAAAAAACTTCGATAACATCAAAATAAAGGACATAGTTAAATATTTCAAAGCAGAATTGGATAAAACAGTTGAAATGATCATGTTCAGAGATGATATTATTTATGACAACTTCGACAGTGAGCCAAATCGGGATAGTACGTTTGAAGCGCTAGATATTTCCGATTTCTCTCACTTGTGTATCATAGCAAACGGCGATTCAATAGATTTAATTATAATTAAGAATGAAAACCTTGACAAGATTTTTAATTTAGAAATTAAACAGATAGATAACACATTAGCTCAAACAGAAAGTAATGCTGAAGTAATAGACATCAGCGATAACGTTAAACCAACTTCAGAAGACGTTTCCCATGCCATAGACGATGAGGATGATATCGAATTTCTTATGGAAGAAAATTCTCCAAAAAAACGACGGCATAGTTCTGTTGATTTTATTGCTGCTACTCATGACAAAAAAAGAAAATAATCGAAGTACAATGAAGTTATCTCATGTTCAAAAAGTTGCTTCTGATCGAATCTAGTTTTATTTCATTACGATCAGTCGCTTGTATTAATTTACAACACCCAAGAAACTGGTTCATCACGTACAGTGAAGAGGTTGCGTACAGCATTCTATCTCTCACGGTGCTTTTTTCTGGAGCCCACAATATCAGCACCAATTTTGATGTTTCTGGCAGCTCTACTGCTGCAAAACAACATTTATTATCTTGAAATTTTTCAACAAATAAGTTGTAAGGCAATTTTCCTGACTCTATTAACGAAAGTCTCTGGGTTTGTACGATGTTGAAAAAAATAAAGTTCAAGTCCCTTTTTCTAAACTTCATGTCATTCCACGTATCTAGACATTCTTTATCAATAGTAATGAGAGTCATAATCAATTTATTTATTAAGTAAAAATTCACACAAGATCTATCTAGTCTGATTAAACAAATGAAATAATTTACAGTTTTCTTATTTTATCGCAATTTTATAATTTTTTATTTATCAAACACCTTGTATTATTCCGATTAAAAGATACCAAAAAAAAATCTAAAAATAGCGATATTTATTCAAAGTTTGTGTTGAAAAACTTATCGTCAAAAAATAAATGTCAACCAAGATTTGGTTTTCAAAGAAAAATGAAATCAATCCAATTCAACATCAAAACCCGTTAATAAATATTAAAAAACTTACTGTAAAAAATAAACTGCCAACACAACCACTTCCTAAAGATGTTTTAGAAAAAATTAACGCACTATGGAACGACTATATAGCTAACTTAAGCAAACATGAAAAACTATTTAGCAGCATTGGAAATTTGTTGTACTGTGCGGAATTGATAGGAGCTCGTATACAAGTAATTCGTTCAACGAATTTAATGCAGAATAAAATCGAAGGAATCATTTTGAATGAAACAAAAGAAATGCTGCTTGTTCAAACCGAAAGAAAAGTTGTAAAACTTATTAAAAAAACGATTGGGTTTTTATTATTAATGAAAAACAAAAAAGTGTTTTATATCAACGGCCCGTTGTTGATTAGAAATCGAGACAAAAAAATAAATTATAAGCCGACAATAGGTGAAAAATTAAGGCCATAATTAATTTATTTTAAAGAGATATTTAGAACGCGTTTATAACGTTTAAAGCGCTATTTGAGATTTAAAATAAATTCAAATAAATTGTCCTAGCGAATATGACAAAAACAATGCATTTCGCCGATTGTTCTCCCGATCAATTGGGCTTAGAAGATATAGAAACTGTTAAAATTGATTATGATTTAGGAAAATTGTTTCGTGGCGAGTTTTTTATTAATTCATTGTATCCAACTGATGGTTTTCTACGTATGAACAATATTTATTGGATAAAAGATGATTACAAAGCCACAGGAAAACGAATTTTTTATTCTTGTGATATAGCTATTAAAGGATATACTGATATGCATTCTGCTCTGCATGGAGACGAAGTTCTGGTTCGCTTGAAAAGCAGAAAAAATTGGTTACCTTGTTCAGAACAGAACGAAAAATGTGAGTGTAAAGTATCAGAATACTGTCCAACCCGTCAGCCTGTTGGAGTAATAGTTTATATAATAAAGCGAATTACGAAGCCAATAATAGCTTCGATTGTTTCAACAAATAATAAAATAGCCATAATTACTCCAACACACAATGTGTATCCTGTGGCTTCGTTAGATGAACGATTCGAGCTTCCAACATCAGCAGTTGAAGGGAAACTATACAAAATTGAATATACTACATTTTTTAAAGAAAAATTTAAAGCTAAAGTTTCAGAAGAGTTAGGCTTAATTACTGATCTTAAGACTATTGAAAATTCATTATTATCTGAATTCGAATTAACTGATACGATTATTCCATTTTCGAATGAAGCGCTGCAATACACTAAAAATCGAATAAAAGATGTTAAAACCGAAATTGAAACGAATAAACTCGGAGGAAATCGAAAAATTTTGAATAATAAGATAATTATGTCGATTGACCCAGTTACAGCTCGCGATCGAGACGATGCGGTTCATGTAACTGTACTAAAAAAAAAAAATAAGATACTAAGTTTTAGTCAAGTACAAGAAACTGTAATTGACTGGATTAAAGACTACTATCGCGACGATAAATTATCTGTGGAATCATTATTGGATCGATTTGGCGACGATTACTCATTCGAAGTTGGGGTACATATAGCCGATGTTTCTTACATGGTTCTTCCAAATTCTCCGTTAGAAGAATACGTTCGAAAACGCCCGACAACAATTTATTTCCCTCACAAAACTATACATATGCTTCCTTCAATCTTATCCGAAGATCTCTTATCTTTAGATGAAAAAGGAGATAAGATTGCAGTTTCGTTTGTCATGACTTTGCAAGCAAATATGGAAGTGAAATCTGTAAAATACTTCCGATCTCTAATAAAAGTGCAACACGCACTTACTTATTACGAGGTTGAAGACATTTTTACTTTGCTTTTAAATAATAGGAAAAACTGTTCAGTTTCAAGCAATAAAAATCTTACTACTTCAAGAAAAAGTACTTTAGATGACAAAAAAGCAAAACGATTACTGTCGAGTAATCTCAATATTAATCTTTTACTTTTACTGGCTTTGTCTGAGAGGCTATATCGTCTTAGAAAACCAAATGATATTGGTATATGCAACACATTGTCTATAAATTTCCTCTGTTCTAAAGATGATTCAAAACAAATAGAAGTAGAGTTATACTCTCAACTAAGATCTATGAAACTTGTACAAGAGTTGATGCTTCTAGCCAATAAATGTGTTGCTACAGAACTGGTAAATAAGTTCGGATTAACCGCCGTCCTAAGATCTCAAAATCATGTTATTGATTTAGATAGATACAAAAAGAAACTCTCGTCTTTTACAGCCAACAACTTCGCACTAGAAACACAACTTCAAAATATAACTTTTGATAAAATGGCTCAATTCCATGCTTTTTTATTAGAAAAACTAAATCCTGAAGTTTACGCTTATTTTTCGAATACATTAAAGCAACTTCAAAATCCGGCAATTTATGCTTTATACAACAAATTAAAAGATGATCCAACTATTTTACACGATGAATATTCACATACTTCGCTAGGTTTTCATCGTTATACTCATTTCACATCGCCTATTCGTCGGTATCCTGATATACTGGTTCATCGACAACTTTTATCAATTAACAATGATTCAAAAGAATGGAGTTTGTGCGCTAAAGATATTGATGATGCTTTAATTAATTACGTCTCAAATATTTTTAGACAAACGAGAAACATGTCGTACAAGATAAACAAAGTTTTCTTATATCTATCTATTCAAAACGCAAAAAATATATTTAAATCAAAAGCTTACGTATATAATATAGGAGAATATCGAGCTGATGTGTTTTTCCCCCAATTAGACATGGAATTAAGGATGGATTATTATTATAACAGTCGAAAACATCATATTTACAAAGCGATTGGCATGGAGTATATGATGAAACACGGTTTGGAATTACCACTTTCTTTCAAATACAATGCAGACGCAAAGCAAGTTGTGTTCACGTTCCGTAACGATTCCACAGTCGCCGTGAAAAAAGGAAATATAATTGAACTCATTATAGTCAGTAGTACTCAAAAACTTTTCGAGTTGGTACCTGTGATCGACTCGATAAATAAAAGTGTATAAACTAGAAAATCACTCCGATAATAAAGAAAAATACAGCACACGTAAGAGTTACATATATTATTCTAACTAACTAGCATTTATTTTTATCAACGTTTAAATTAATTTAACAAAAATACTTGCAGTCATAATATATTATTCCCGTTCACTAGCAAATAAACTAATAGATTTATCAAGAAATGGTTAGAGCTTATACTCTGAATGATCTCGAAAGTCAAAATAATTATCGATCGAATGGCTTTTACAACACGTATTATAATTCAGGAAGCCGACCAAGTGTTTTGGCCATGATGTTTCCAGGATTCAAAATACAAAGTTTCACTTTTATCATGAGTTGCACATTGGTAGTTATTCAGCTGATTGATATAATTTTATCTAATAACTATTACTGGAACCGCTTTATCTACAGCGTAAAATATGATTCGGGATTATTAGTGCAGGAAGGAAAAGTATGGTGTTTAATCACTTGTATTTTTTTTCACGCTAACTTTCTCCATTTACTATTTAATGTATTAGGATTATTCAACCTTGGTTTCATCACAGAAGCTGTCTACGGTTCTTTACCAACTTTGTGCATATATATGATCACAGGAATACTAGCTAATCTTTTTAGTACTGCTATATCTCCTCTAGTTTTATCTGTAGGGGCAAGCGGCGCAATATTAGGATTTATTGGAGTTAGAGGCGCGCAAATTGCTTTATTTTGGGATCATTTAGTCAATCGAGAGATCGTTATATGGAGTTATATTATTAACGTATCTTTCATGCTTCTCTTTAATTTAGTTTCTCCTGGCGTCAATACTTTAATTCATTTGTTAGGGTTAATAATAGGATTTTTGCTGGGCTTATCTTATCCCAAGTCGAGCTTCACTTTACCTCCGTAAGTTTTTACCTCTCATTATTTTTTAGTTGGATTAAACAAGCTCAGATTGTTTCTATCTCTATATTAGTGATTTTAACAATATTAGCCATTTTCAGATTTAGCGTTTTTCCTATTAGGAAGGTTTTCTATGCAATTTGAAAAAGGTAAATCTGGTGTCATTGAGTACGGTTGATAGTCACATATACAGGTACCGATTAAACCAATTTTTTTTTCATTTCCAATGCAGAAATTTACTAATGTATCAATCCGTTTATCTGGTTGCTTAGCGCTTGTGACGTTATCTATGTAATGTATGATGTTAGATATGACATTCTCATCTTGGTCAACGATGCTGATTTCGTAATTCTCTTTAAACTTTAATAGTAAAATGTAGTCCTTCCTTTTTTTTGGTGTAGGTTTGGAACACAAAATTGGAAATTCAAAGATGCTGCCGAGAATGGCATCTAAATTATTTTTGATAATTAGAAAGTTTTTAATCGTGTCTTCCGATCTCTCATATTGTTCATAGCCTATCAAGTCATTGAATTTGTACTCTATTATGCTAGAGCAGAAATAATCAAAACTAAAAGTTCGATTGTCACAGTTAATCGTAAATATGCATGGATTTTCTTTCAAATTCGATAAAATTACGTTACATCCAAATTGTTTGATAACGTTAGTCGAATATTGATCTTGTTCAGCCGCTGCTGAATTGGCGCAACAGCTCGGAAAGTAAAACATTTTTGCACCTTGCTTTTTTCATTTCAAAATCAAAAGTCAGTTATTTTCACACAGAGAACTAAACACTTGCAACACAATAATTAAAGCGCAACGTTTGTTCATTCTATTTTTTTATTCCAAATGAGTTGGCTGATATAACTTTTTTTATACATAAAATCACACACAAGTACTTAGAAAGAATGCGTTGGCAAGCTTGATATCATAAATGAATTCCAAAATACTTTTTTTCTTGTATATATCATTAATTCACAAGTACAAATCACTAGCAGTTGATAAAAGCTTAACGTTTCCTTTTGTAGGAAACTTGACAAAACTAAACAGCTCAATATGTACAAATCCGTTTTCAAACACAATTTTATTACTTCTAAATAATTTAGTGAACAAAGAAAACGAACAATATTTGGAAGAAATTGTCAGTTTATTGGAAGATCATTCGAAAAAAAATAAAAATAACCGGCTTAATCATAGTCCAGACATTATAAATTCTTCTTTAACAATTTTTAAGAGTTCAAAAAACTTGTTCAAAATTATGTTTTATCTACTTTCTTCGTCCGATTACAGTGCGATTTGTGCCATTGCAGACCATGAAAACAAATATAAGAAAACACCGTATGTTTCTTCGTTACTACAAAATCTTGTATTCATCGCATTAGCTTGTAACCAAAATGCTGCAGCTACAGTAGTTGATAGTTGCCACAATTCTATAAGATTTCCCGAAGACAGACTTTGCTACTTTGGAAAAAATAGTTATTTTAAATATTCTCCCGTTAAATACGATGAAATTCAGTTTGACCTTGCAAACTTTGTCGACAATATTCCTTTAAATTTGCTTGATATTATTGTAGATCAAACCGGAGTTGACGGTAATGATTCATTTCTGGAGTTCAAAGAATCAGATGGTCTTAAAATGATTGCATACCACATTATTAATACAGAATTTCCATTATATTTAGCGCTGTGGAAAGGACTAGTGGAATTATACGATTTTAATTGTAGCCAACTAACATCTAAAATTTTTAGTAACTTTATACAAAAATACAGTTACTATTTAGAATATCCTGACGAATCAAAAACTATATTCGCGAAATTATATATAGCTGATTCTTGTCAATACATATTGCTAATCCGGGGAACTACGAATAAGTATGAGTGGTATCTAAATTTTTTGCATTGGGCTGTTTATAATGATTCGATTGACATAGATTTTCATTATGGAGTTTCTATTTTGTCTAATTTGTTGTTTGAATCGTTAATAATAGATTTAGAAAATCTCAATATTGATTCTTGTAAAAAACCCATCATCACTATTTCAGGACACAGTCTAGGCGGCGCAATAACGAGCCAACTTAGTGTTTTATTAGAAAGTTATAAAAAAAATTTACGAATTTTTGTTGTCACATTTGCAAGTCCAAAAGTTCAATCACGTTATCCTAAAGATATAATCTATAGACATTTGATTCATACGAGAGATTCAATATATTCTCTCCCTTGTAATTTCAGAAATTCTGTTAGTGGATGGCCACGCAATACCATAGATTTTATATTACCTGTCGGAAGTGGCAGTTATGCTTTTCCAATTCCAAGAAACGAAATCAGTTTTAATGTTTCAAACGATGACGATGCAGTGTTAGACAATTTAATTTCATCGATCACAATTGTTGATCATGATCAGCCTTTCATAAGTCAGAACGACAAATCAATTTTAAGAGCAAATATGTCAAAAAATCAAAAATTTGTCCTTAACCAAGCGATAATCACTATGAGTCACAAATTTATTTCATACACAAAATCTGCACTAAGACATTCTCAACCATTTTCAAAAAGCGTGCAAACAAAACCAGAAGAAGTTAACTTTTCTATGAATAAAAACCGGCTAGACGTCCATAAACCAAAGAAATTTATTACCAAATATTCTTTTAACGCACAAAGCAAGTTTGATAAAAATACGGAGTACTATAATTATGAATATAAGAATAAAAATAAGTCATTGTTTGAATTCATTGTCTCTGGTAACGTCACTTACTATCATAAAGACATTTATCACTCTATTTTATCTCTAACTTGTAGAGCCAATCCTGTAAGTAATTTTGTCTGGATATAGAAGTCAAAAATACATATTCAAAGGAGCAAGATTTTTAAAAAAATTATTTAGAAACCCTAAATTTAGATTACGTTTTATGGCTTTAATCAATGGCTCATTCATTAATTTGTTTGGCCAACCAAGTTTATTCCAATATTTATGGTGTGAAAGACAGTAGATTCGAAACATACGAAAATACTCAATGCAAACTTATACTCAGAATTGTTACGCTATTGACTTTTATTTTAAGCCAATGTATTTTGAATTTTTCTTTTAAGTTCAGTAATTACCTTACCAACTTGTTGGTGACTTACTCAGACTCCGACCGAACTTTTTTGGATCTCACAAATTTTACTCTTTCAACTACTAATCTAATGACATCTTTTGGTTTCGGTTTATTTTTTGGTCCATTAGCCGCCAAGCTCACAAGCCACAAACTTTTGAGTGGAATTTCGCTTTGTTTTATATTACCACTATATTTAATATATTTTATACTAATCGTTTCCTTAAGATGCTCGGTAGATAATAGTCGCAAACAATTCTGGATCAGATTCGCAAACAACTATAATATTTTCCCTATATATTTATTAAATACTGCAGCAACAGCTTTGTTTACCGCCAACTTTGTTTATTTAAACTTGATTACCGGAAGAAAAAAAAAAATTCTGGTTCGTACATACTTATATTTATATGTCTTATTATGTGTTACAAGAATATATCAACTTGTAAATTTCTACTATTCAAACAAAGGTATCCTCAAACATGTATATTACAACGAAATCGTTCTAATATTAATAATATTACTTGCTTGCGTAATATTAGCCCTATTTTCTATTTTTGACTTTAAAAACAAAGTGAATCTAGATGTGAGATATTCAAATACCTTCACTAAAATACTACATCACGAACTTACTGACGAAACAGTCATTGAAAAATGCGATCTCGATTGGTATGAAGGCGCTAATATAGATTATTCTTTAACTAACTCCAGTTATACGTCAGCGCTTTTTGCTATTATCGTATGTACTTCTAATTTAGTTAATTTTTATCGTTATACGCCCGAAAAAATTAAGGACTTGTTTATAAAAAACAATTATTCCGATAATAGCTTGATTTATTATTCATTTGTAGAAGCAATTTTACTCACAGGAATTTATTTGTGGCAGCTATATTCGCCAACTTCTAATTTGCACGCTTTTGTAAAAATTAATGCATTATTGATATGCGCAGCGTTTTTTTTCAACTTACTGATACTTCTTGCAAATAATACAAATTCTCTGCGTCTTATCGGCTGGTTTTTAATTTTGCAACCGATTCTGAGTATTTGCCTGATCGTGCCCGCATTTGTAACTTATTGTATAGCTTCTCCTCCGATGATATACAAGATTGAAAATTGTGCTTTGTTTTATTCCTTTGCGTTTTTATTCAACCAAGTTTTGACATACTACAATCATATAATTGGATGGGATCGAGTCGTTCTACTTGCGATAAATTTGACTGCGACGTTGTTACTATTCAAAAAACTAGATTATATAAATGGAAAAACATTTGAAACTGGGTTTTTTAGTAATTCACGTAGCATAATTAATGGTAAATCGCGCTTTATGTCATCTCTATAAAAAATATTACACAAAGCCTAAAGTAATATTTTGTACTTTTTTGCAATTATTAAAGTATATTTCTTATAGTTGACAAAAAGTAAACTTTCATCACCTTTATGGAATCAAAAAATGACTTATCGAAAGTCGATAAACCATCTGAAACAGAATTACAATTATCAATGCCTTATCTCGGCATGTGGCATTTTAATCAGTGTGACACAAAACGCTGTTCGGGGAAAAAATTAAAAAAGCACAAAAAAATAGAAGAACGGAAAGCTAACTCTGATTTTAATGGCATCGTGCTTTGGACAGATACGTCAAACGTATTGTGTCCACTTGACGTTGACATTGTCAAGTTACACGGCATATGTGTGGTAGATTGCAGTTGGAACAAGGTTGAAGAACTCAATTTAACTAAACACTTGAAAAAAGCAAAAGTCAGGAAGTTACCTTTCTTAGTTGCTGCTAATCCCTGTCACTTTGGACGCCCTTTTGAACTAAATTGTGCTGAAGCAATAGCAGCAAGTTTGTTCATTACTAACTACATAGATCAAAGCGTCCATATCATGAAGTCTTTTTCCTGGGGCCACGCTTTTTTCAAAATCAATAAATTGTTTCTTGATCTTTATGTCAAAAAACTATATAACTCTCGCCAAATATCGAAGTTAAGTATTAGATGTGAGGATTTTTTCATGAATAAAAAAGACAAGTATAATAAATTAATGATACAAGAAGAAATTAGACAATATAATTCTGAAAACGATAGTTCAGAAGATATAACGTGACGTAAAAAACTGAAACAATAGTAAAAGAATTTTTTATATTACGTCTTAAGCTCATTGCAATTACTTAATACTCATTTTATATTGTTTTCAGTTTAGTTAAACTGTTAATAAGCTTAATTTCTTAAATAAATAATTAGTTTGAAAATCATTTTCAAATTGTTTCAAACTGTTTACAATGTCTATGCTAAAACAGTATTCTTTGTTTAAAAAAAGACTAAATCTATCAAGAATTTTATACGAATTTGACAAACATTTTTTTAATGCGATAACAAATTTAAGTTTAGATTGAAAGTTTGATTTTTGAGAATATAAATTGTGTATCAATTGATAATGTACAACGAAATCGAGCATTTCTCGTTCATCTGTCTCCATAATTATCCCTAGTTTTGTGTAACAAGACATTATGAGAATGATGTAGTCAAACACACTTATAAATGTTCCAAATTGATAGAAAAGATAAAATCTTATAAGATGAGCAACATATATTTTCTCAAAATTATTTTCTGAATAAAACTCCACTATCGGAATTTTTTTTTTTTTTTCATTTTTTTTAAATCTTATTTTGTTTAATAATTTATTAAATTTAAACAAAGAGAAAAAGAAGTAAAATATTTTTTTTATTTTAGTACAAATAAATTTTATTATCAAAATACAAGGGATTAATATTTGTTTTATCACTTGTAAAGAATTATTATTTGTTTTTTTTATTGTTTCTTTATTCAGAAATAGTTCGATAGTACCCTTTTTAATTTTGTTATTTTTTATCTGTAAAGATTCTTCTATAGAAGTATATTTAAAATTATTGCAAAACACAGCAACACATTGATAAATATAAGATGACTTTTTTGTAAATGATAAAGCATAATAAACATGAGGAAAGTAACCTAAATTAGTGAACTCGAAACACTCCAATAAATCTTTTAAGTCAATAAAAATTTTTGGAAAAGAAGTCGAAAATATATTTAATGGATGCTTTTCCGAATTAAAAAATAAACTAGACAGATCTATAAACCGTGAAAAATTGGTATTGTATTCTTGTTGTAATTGACAATTGAGTTTTTCGTCATAAACATTTAAATCGATATTATGGAAAATTATTTTATAGATCCAAACATAAATAGCTAAAAGTGTAAGTTTAGATTTATAGGTGGCTTTTTCAGCTGTGAACAATTTCCAAGCTGTTTTTTTAATTAAATTTTCCAAGTTATAAATATTTTCTGAGTAGTTTGATCCGAAAAAAATACCACAGTAAGTATTAAGATTTATCATTTTTGTTTGGCATTTCCGTTCGAGGTAATGACTATAATCATTTAAAACGTCGTGCGATTCTAAAGGGTTCAATAACCCACTAATATCCATAAACTGATTTTTTTATCTTTTGTTGTAGATTAAGTTCAGGATTAAAGTATTAATAATTAAAAAATAAAGGCAATTACAAAATTTTTTTCTAGGGAAATGCATTCTGAAGTTAGAAATTTAGCTGAATTAGAAAGCTTCACATTTTATTGTTATTATTTACTTCTAAAGAAAAATGAAATTAAACTGTTTAATAAAAAATGCAAAAACCTCATACGTTCTAAGGTAGAAGTTAAGTGCATTTTGGATTCTCTAAACGAAAAGGTAAAAATCAAAAATTTCGAAAAAAAATTTGATTTCGACAAAATAGTCTTATTAACCAACGTTAAATATGAAATAGATGACTACAATTTATCAAATGACCCATCGTTCGATTTGAAAGACGCTATTTGGATGTTAAACCAACATTTATCAAATGTAATAGAAAAGCAAAACGTGGAAACTCAAGTAGCTGAGATTACACTAAATGCTAATGATTTGAAATATGAAAAACTACTTTCAAAAATTTTACCATCAAACATTACAGCGCCTTTCGCCTTCGAAACTATTGGTCATATTATACATTTGAATTTCAAAGATGAAATTCTGCCTTACAAATATTTGATTGCGGAGTATTTGTTGAAAAAGCACAAAAACATTCGAACCGTTGTTAATAAAGTAAATAAAATTACTTCAATGTTTCGAGAATGTCCGTTTGAACTGTTAGCCGGCGAACCTGTGTATGAAACAACGCTGAAGGAAAAAGGCTTTACTTTTTTTATCGATTACAAAAACGTTTATTGGAACAGTCGTTTATCAGGAGAACGCGAAAGATTGGTTATTCGCATCCCAAAAAATTCGTTTGTAATAGATGTCATGGCTGGTGTTGGGGGTTTTGGTGTATATCTCGCGAAGCTAAACAACTGTCGAGTCATTTCAAACGACTTAAATCCAGTTGGGTTTGAATGCATTAAAAAAAATATTAAACTTAACAAAATTGCAGATTTAATCGTTTCTAGCAACGAGGACGGACGAGAATTGATCAAAAAAAGCGAATTTAAGAGAAGAAAATATTGTGAGGATCAAGTTGTGTATTACATCATGAATTTACCGAAAACAGCAATGGAATTTTTAGATTCATTTACTGGCGCAGAAAAAAGTATTGTTTTCGTGTATTGCTTTTTGGAAAAATCGAGCTCAAATGACATAAAAACAATAAACCAGTTGGTTCAAAAACATTTAAAAGATGTTAAGCATAGCGTGGTAAATGTTCATCAAGTGCGAAATGTCTCACCAAAAAAATTCATGTTTTGCGTTGAAATTCATATAGGATTTTGAGAAGATAAAATATAGTACCCCTAATATTAGAATAGCTAAAAAAATAAAAAAATTTTGAATTTTTAGTCTGTTCTTTTATGTCAATTTCAACATCATCAGCTTCAACTAACATCGAATCGAACGTTAAAAAATCTCTTTCTATTTTACAACAAGTTCAAAACAAAAGAACCAGCGACGATATCAAAAAAACTTATGGACAAATTTATTTTGACTTTCAAGCCACCACGCCTTTAGATAAGCGTGTTTTGAATGCAATGATGCCTGCTTTTACCACTGATTTCGGAAATGCTCATTCTAGAACGCATAATTATGGATGGAAAGCTTTTAATAGTGTGGAAAATGCGCGGCGTCAAATTGCAGATTTAGTAAATGCTAAGCCTACAGAAATTATTTTCACTAGTGGAGCAACAGAGTCTAATAATCTTGCGTTGAAAGGGATCGCTGAGTATCACGGTAAAAACCATAAAAAAAAGCATATTATTACGTTACAAACTGAACATAAATGTGTCTTGGCTTCCACTAAGTATTTAGAAACTGAAAAAGGCTGGGATGTTACTTATTTGAAAGTAAAACCTAATGGATTAGTTGATTTGGAAGAACTCGAAAAAGCAATTCGAGATGACACTGCTTTGATTTCTATTATGATGGTAAATAACGAAATTGGTGTTATTCAGCCCATAAAAAAAATTGCAAAAATAGCTCACAGATATGGTGTTTTATTGCATACTGATGCTGCTCAAGCACTTGGAAAAATTCCAATCGATGTTAACGACATGGGTATAGATCTAATGAGCATGAGTGGACATAAGCTTTACGGTCCAAAAGGCATTGGAGCTTTATATATTAGATCAAAGCCCAGAGTTAGATTAACTCCTCAAATTCATGGTGGTGGCCAAGAACGCGGTTACAGAAGCGGAACACTACCAGTTCCACTATGTGTTGGATTTGGTGAAGCTTGCAAAATAAGTAAAGTCGAAATGGAAGAAGATAACAAGCGAATAGTCGCTTTACGCGACCGATTTTTAAACTATGTAAAAAAAAATTTATCACATGTGATTGTAAACGGAGATGAAGAAAACAGAGTTCCTGGAAATATTAACATCTCGATCGCAGGAGTTGAAGGAGAAAGTCTAATCCTGGCTATGAAAGAAGTAGCCGTCAGCAGCGGAAGTGCTTGCACAAGTGAAAGCTTAGAGCCTTCTTACGTTCTAAGGTCTATTGGAGTGGATGAAGCTCTTGCACACACCAGTATTCGATTTGGAATAGGCAAATACACTACTGAAGCAGAAATAGATCGTGCTGCCGAACTTTTAGTAGCTTCAGCTAAATATTTACGTGAATTCAGTCCGTTATGGGACGAAGAACTAGGCAGTTCTACCTCCGAATTAGTTTGGACATAAATTTGTATTAAGTTTTTGTCATTTCAATGCATGGTAAATCAGGAACTGAATTCAAACAATTTGGATAGTTATAAAATAATGGTTCAAAATAATCAATCTCCGACCATTTTTCAATTAAATCTTTTCGGCTATAAGAATTCACTATTTTAAATCCGAGCTTAGAAATATTTATTTCAATGTCATCCATATAAGTTATTAATTCTGAATTCATAGATTTTGTTATTGATTTAATATAATTCCAATAACTCGATTTAGTTTTTGGTGTTTCCAGATAATCAAAAAAAATATGTAAATCTGAAAATTGTTCGTGTAGCAGCGCTAAAGTGTTACAGACTACTTCTATTTTTAAATAATAAGAAACTCCTACAAAAACAGCTATGGTTTTCAGTGCGGAATCGGTCACTGATTCTAAGCAATCTGTTAAATTATCTTTTTCGAGATCACAAGCTAAATAAAATATTCTTTTTTCTGAAGCTAAATTTGATTGATCAAAAAATTCTTCAAAAAGTAGTGTGAAATTTTCGTCCGATTGTTCGTAATTATCGTATTGTTCCTTTACGATTTCTTTGACTCTTTTAACTTTCTCTTTTTGAAGGTCAGGCAAATCTATTTCTATAAATTTACACTGTTTATGGTAAAAATTCCTGTATGCTGAAGTATCGTAACCTGCTCCGATCAAGATAACTTGTTTGCAACCTTTTTTTATATGATCATCAATAAACTTTTGCGAATAGAATGCACGACAATAGTAAGATAAGTATATCATTCTTAATACAGGCGGTAAAATTCTCAGTCGATTTACTTCAACTGTTTTCACCCATTCCATTTGTGATTTTGAAAAAAAGTTTTTGGCCCAGGTGTATTCTCTAGGATCGAATTGGTACGGTTTTGGAGCCATTGTATAATATGCTCGATACATTAACATTACAGAAGAATTAGTATCTGATTTATCTGGTAATCCGAACATACGTGCTAAGTAACTAGTCCCGATGTTTAATGTACTAGCCAATCGATATATATTAATCATGGAAAACGAAAGCCAGTCATAGGTATAGTCAAATATCCAATTTGTTAGTTTGATGTATCTTTGTAAAAAATAAGAGTGTTGTTTTTTCATTAGTTATTTTTAATTAGACCTACCTCAAAACTTCTCTGCCGAAAAATTTAATAAAAAATCACACACATAAAAGTGTTTTAAGAGCTTATTGATTCAATATCTTTATAATATATAAAAAAAATATTTGTTATATTGTTTTTGAAATTAGGTTTAGCAATCGCTGTGTGATTGCTATTTTTCATTGATTTGTTTAGATTCACAACTTTACAATATAATTTCTTTATGATAAAGGGTATGTTCAGATGTTAATAAGGTTAATAGTTGTATTGGTCGGTGACTCTGGCGTAGGTAAAACTACGTTAGTTTCTACTTTTGTCAAGGAGAAACCCGATCTTGAAATCACTTCAACGGTTTGTATTGAAATGCGTGTACATGAGGTCGAATTAATAAATTCTTCCTACGTCAAATTAGAAATTTGGGATTCTGCTGGGTGTGAGAAATACAGGTCTGTAGCTAAAAATCATTATAAAAACGCTCTGGGAGCCTTAATCGTTTATAATATAACACAAAGAGAATCATTTACGAATGTCGACAACTGGCTAAAATTAATTAGAGAGAACTGCCCAGAAGACGCGGTTATTTACCTGATTGGAAACAAGTTAGATCTAGTGGAAAAAGACAATCGAGAAAGAGAAGTGAAGTTCGATGAAGGATTAAATTATGCAAAAAAAAAAAATCTTCTATTTTACGAAGTCAGTGCTTACTCTGCTCACGATTCTAATAAAATTTTTACATTATTTGCGTCTGATATATGGAAAGTGAAAAATAAATGTTCCATAAACGACGTTTATGAATAAGAAAACGATTTAGCTTTTCCTGGTTCTTTTGAAATGAATGAACTACTTTTTTTTAAATTTACCGATAGCTCCCCGCACTAAACCTTTCTTTTTGACTTTAGTAGATTTTGTAGCGCTTAGTAAGTTTTTGACGTCAAAAGCAGGAGCTTGAGTTGTTAAACAAGTTGAATTTAAATTTTGATTGCCAGCTCCAATTATTAAGTTTTTGGAACTTCGTTTGTTAGTTTCTAATCCATTTAAATCTTCGGTGTTTTCTGAAAATTCCGATTTCTCATCTATATTGTTTAAGAATTGACTAATTTCTTTTATTAAATCATCAATCTTAGAAGTGGAAGTTACGAGGTAGTTTACGGTATTCTTATAAGCAAATAAATCTTCTAAAAGTTTAACTTTATCGCCTAACTTAAAAGTTTTTTTTGTATAAATTAGGTCAACAAGAATAGATATCCAAAGCAAGCCTAGCTCATAAAAGAAATTTTGCATGAACCGATCTTGGTACGGTTTTGGAAACTGTTTTAAAAACTTAAAAACGCTGTCAGGTAGTGTATTAAGTAAATCATGCAATGTGCATCCGTTAGTAATATTTGGATAATACAGTGAAGTGATAAAATAATTAATTAACTCTGTGTAAATTATATTTTGACAACTCATGATGATGAAAGTAGAAATAATGTCTTCTAATTCTTTAACCGTGTTTTTTTTAAAATCTTCTAAGAAACTTTCTATGTAAGCCATAGCATCTGATTTTTTTTCAAAATCTAAGTTTGCCGTGTTGATTAATTTATATATGTAGCGTAGTGTGTCTAAATCGTTAGAGTCAAGTATGGATTGTTCGAAAATAGATTTTTTAATGTAACAAACAAATTGAACAACAGACTCTTTAACATAATATAAATTATGCATCCGTGTTATTAAAGTGTTAATCTCTGAAAATTTTGTAGATTGAATCGCAATGATATATTGGGAGAAGGTAGACCTTAATCTATGGTATGTTTTCTTTTTAAAAACTTTAAGATTGTCTTCGAAAGAGTTTATCGCTATGTTAGTTGAAGTGGGAGAAAACAAAAATTGAGATTCTGTGTTTGAATAGCTGTCAAGACTGTATGGCGAAGTTATGTTTTCGTACTCAGCTGCACTTTCCGAGTTTGGACTCATGTATTTACTAGGAAAAGTTGGTTTTGAAAGCACTGAACTTTTACTATTCGTAGTTGAAAACATATTCAAGTAAAAGTTGAACTTATTCTTGCGTTTGGTGGGCTGAGACGGTTTATAACTTTCACTGATGTGCTTCAATAGGGTTGATTCTTGTAAATTTCGACTCACAAATGAAGTATAAGATACAATGTCACTAATTGACTGGCAAGCAATGGAACTTGTAAGATAGTTAACATAAGTTTTCAATGATTTTGAGAGGTATTCTGTTAATAAATTTATAGTGCTCATAAGATCTAACTTGAGCGATAATATAGTGTCCATCATTGAGTATAAAAGAGAAACAAAATCATAGCAGTATTGACTTTGCATCATTTGGGCTGGTTTAATAGGAACCCAGTTTTCGTTGCATACAAATTGTATTATAGTTGATTTAAAATAGTCCAGTTTTTTCAATACATTTTCAATTAGAATTCCTGAAATGTTTTGAATTTGTTCCCGTAATTGATCGTATTCTGTTGAACAATGTAGTTCTTTTGGCAGTCGCCGCGTGAAAAAATCAATCTTGTTTAAAGTAGATATTATCTTTATGGTCATAGGAGGTATCAAGTTGTCTGGGGGCCAAAGAAAACTTGTTTTAAGCGCTCTGAAAATATAAATGATAAATTTCAAACAAGCATATGTTGCTATTGCTATGTGCTGACCGTTTGGTAGCAGTTTTTCCCAAATGCTAGAAGTTGATTGTATTTCAGTAAAATATTCTTTTGGCACTAATGCTAGCGAGTCAGCATAATCAGTCATAATGTCTGTCCATAATTTTCTTGATTCCTCGTACAGTGGATCACTCATAAAAGATTCGACATGTTTATTTGAATTATACAAATCATATTCCATTGGAAAAAGCGTGAATAAATCTTTATAATACTCACTATAATAATAATTCGAGTTTAAGTTGAAAAGATGTTTCAGTCTCTCTCGTTTTGCTGTATCGTTAAAAAACGCTTTAAACAGTTTTTCTAGTACAAATGAAAATGATTGAAAAATGCAATGCCTTAAAAAATTCGAATGAGAATCAGGCCCATTGAAGCGCACAACCAAATTTAATTCTGTAGTTGGAACTTTTGTAGAATATACTGAAAAATCAGTAGAACAAGAGTTACAGTCTATAAATTTTAAACAAGCTTTTTGAATTTCTATGCTCGTTGCTAGACATCCTATTTCTATTCTTTCTCTGTAATTTCGCAAATGTAGTGATAGTTCATCAATAACAGGACTAACTAACTGTTTGCTTAAAAGCTTGCTAGAGATTAGTAGTTCTATAGGTGTAGCTATAAATATGTTGTTGAATATCTCATTTCTTCCATACTCAATCATAATTTGTTCAATTTCATTACTTGTTTTATTCTCTATAAAATGGTTGTCAAGTAAAAACGCTGTTGTAGGGTACTTATTTCTCAAAAAAGCGAACTGCAATTTATGGTTTTCAAAATAGTTGACTTGTCTAGAAATGTCCAACAAGATTTTCTTGTAGTCAGTGTTAAACACTGTTAGCATGCTGTTCAGCGTGTTTGCTGAAAGAATAAATTTCTCAGGTTTTTGGTTTGAAACAATCGCGTCAAAAGAATCGTGGTAATGAGACCTCCAAATCCAGTGCAGCAATGAAGCCTTGATAAATTCTAAAGTAGGATTCGTTAAGCTTTGAAACGTATCCGTTGTATGTCTCATAAACAACGGAATAGATTGAAAAATAAAAGACAACTGTTTCGTGTTGTCCAAGCTTAGTTTTGAACTATTTCTTGGATCAGTTAAAGTGTATACTAAGTTGTGACAAAATAAAATAAACACTTCATAAGGTAAACTGTAATAAAAGTCATCATAATATTGAACTGCATCTTCATTACTGCCGTGAGGTGTATCGTCAATGATTGAAACGTCCATTATTTTTTCTTTATATTCTCCATCATCGAAAAGTGAAGATTCAGGATTTTTAATTTTGTTTTCTAGCAATAACGGCTCAATTTGCTTAGAAGCCACGTAATAATTAAATGCTTCGTGAAGTAAAATTTTATCCCAGTTTCTATTACAACAGTGATTACATACTCGCGATATGGTTGTGTAAATAGTGGAAATCGTATCAAAGTTTCCTTCTTGGTTATAGACGTTGTAATATGATTGAAGATATCGGATAATTTGAATTTGTTTTATGAGTAAAAGAATTGTCAGCGTGTCAATCTGGGAAACGTCAATTACTGTCACATTTTTAACGTAAAGTGTTAAATCGTTGATAATAGAAAGAAAATGCAAGTATGCATTTATTAATCCTTTAATATAAATATTCTTGTCTTGAATATCTGTACTGAAACGTTGTTTCAGTGTATTAAACCAATGAGCTTCATTTTTATTCCAATGCAGTAACTCATTGGATAGCCAGTTTAGATCAAGATGTGCAAGTCTTGTCAAATGAGACATCGCCCATATTTTAAGTAAATGCAAAGATCTCAAAACAAATAATATTTCGGTAGGATGCTTAATAACACAAAAATATAAACATAAAACTCGATACCGGATATCTACGTACGAGTAGTCGCTGGCGACTTGTTCAACGTTCAAGAGAGCTTGCAACGTCTTTGCTTCTCCAGAAGTGATTCTGCAAGAAATTCTGTAGCGAGAAAGTCCGTCGTGAAAATCTCTTAGGTACTGTGAATGCGCGTCATTTATGGAAGTGGTTAATTTGTCTTTTTTGATTTTTTCTTGAGCTCCTAACAATAAATATTCGTACGTTAAAAAAAACCACATCTTGGAGTTCATATAGTCAGATCCCCAATCCAAAGCATACTTGACCGAGCTCATATTATAGTCGCCTTCGGGCGTGTAGTGCGGAAACCGGGACAGGTAGAGAGAAAAACAGTGTTCGTCAGCAGAATTGTATATGTACCTAAACCGGTCCCATTGCTGACCGCGAAGCATGTTACAAACGCATAATTGCGTAATATTTTTCAAATAAGCGTCTCGAATCCAAGTCTGGTGTCGTGGTCGGAACTTTTTAAAGTTTTGGTAATGAACTTCTAAAGAAGGAATGTAGTTCATTAGAATTTTTTTATATTTGCCGTAGGTTCGGGTATTCGAGCGCGCATAGCGAATACCCATTATCAAAAATCCAGACCAGTTCCGATGGTTTTTTGAGGGATGCAAGACTTGTAAACGGGTATTGTAGCTAGACTCGCATCAGCATTAGAGCTGCTGGACGGTTGACATGCAGCGTTTCGAAGCCAGTTCTTATCTGCGTTTTTTAAAAAAATTTGGGTTATTTTATCGTTCGGATCAACCAAACTGCCGATGGAACTTTGGCTTGACATAAAGTCTGATTTTTTGTACCCCTCGTATTTTTGGTAAAATACATATAATGACTGAGCCTGCAATTTGAGCAACATAACAGAATATTTAATCATATAGTATATAGCTCGTTGGTTAGATTCAGCTTGCACTTCGTAAAGTTTAGCTGTTTTATTTTCAGATAGAGTTTGGGAGTCATTTACAATTTTTTTCACTAAGTTTAAATTACTCATAAGTGGTTTTACAACTTTACATTCCAACGCATCAGCAAACTGCTTGTTGTAAGACTGCAAATCAGAAAGATACTTTTTTTTATTGGTGATAAAGTCTTTGAAAACAGAGTTTGTGTTATCATCTAGGAACGGAAAAGACAATTTTTCATTTATAGTTTTAAGACTGCTTGTAAACGTTTTAAAGGCATTAACCAATTCGTCATAACCACTTATTAATGTCAATAGCGCTTGTTCGCTCATAACCTGCTCCATGTCGAATTATGCTTAATTATTATAAAATATAGGATATAAGTCACAGGATTATTATCTTTTGAACATGATTTATTTAATTATAGCTCAGAAGAAAAATGTACGAATAGAATAATATTTTTGGAAAGAAAATTATCGAAGGTTATTTATTTTTTCTCGAATATTTTCGTTGCGTTAACATTTTTTTAAAACGACTAAGGCAATGGACAGTGAACTCTCTTTTTTACCGGGTAAAAACATTATAATTCCTTCAGTTCCCACTCCACATAACAACGCTAAGCAAGGAGAAATAGCTGAAGTTGTTATTTTGTGTGGTGACCCTCTCAGAGCGAAATTTATTGCTGAAAACTATATGACAAACGTCGAAGAAGTAAATAATGTTCGAAACATGCTTGCATTTACCGGTTACTACAAAGAAAAGAGACTCACTGTTATGGGAAGTGGAATGGGTGTAGCCTCTTTCTCCATTTACGCTTACGAGTTGTACACCGCTTATAATGTCAAGAGAATCATTCGAGCAGGCACTTGTGGAGGTTTCTTTGAAGAAATGAACACAGGTTCGATTGTCTTGGCCCAAAGCGCTTGCTACGAGCCCGGTTTTATTGAGCAGTACAAGCTTCCAGGTGTGTATTCGACTTGTGCCAGCTTTTCGTTACTTAAAATAGCAGCCGAATATGCTGAGGAAAAAGAATTTGAATTTAGAGTTGGTAACGTTCTTACATCTAACTCTTTTTACCACGACGGTAACGACGCTCTAGCATGGCGTAAGCTCAACGTGCTTTGTGTAGAAATGGAAACTGCCGTTTTGTATACATTGGCTGCGCGTCTTGGAAAAGAAGCTCTAAGTATTTTAGCCATTTCTGATAACATTGTTGCTCCTGGAAAAATTTTAACTTCTGAACAGCGTCAAAAATACTTATCAGGCTTGTTTACTCTTGCTCTTTATGTTGCAACTAGCGACTAATCCTTCTTTGGGTAAATCACAGGTTTATTTTACACTTTTAGTAGATAATT